TGCCTTCAAGTTGTTCCTGACTTATGGCAACCCTAAGGCAAACCTATCATGGGGTTTTCTTGGCAAGATTTGTTCAGAAGTTTGCCATTGCCTTCACTTGAGGCTGAGAGCATGTGACTTGCCCAAGGTCACCCAATGGGTTTCATTGCCGAGCAAACTCTGGTCTCCAGAGTCATTTGCCCTAAGCAGACTGCCAGAAATAGTGCACATTAAATTGAGGCACTGCCCTGGCTCAGTGCTAGGGAATCATGGGAACGGCTTAATGTCCCAGAAAAAAATACAATTCCCATGACTCCCTAGCACTGAGTCAGGTCAGTGCCTCAATTTAATGTGTACTATTTCTGGCAGTCTGCAAAGGCCCATAGTCTTACACTCAGACCACTACACCATGCTTTATCCACTGCTTTTAAAATGTTCTGGTTTCTCTCTCTTCCTTCTGCTTTCCCCCTTCCTCCTTAGTTTGCTGCAATTGCTGCAACCTGGGTTCAATGTGCAGAACTATTTTGTTCTCAGCTCATTGAGCAGGAGAGAGAAGATGGAGTCTTGCCTTTCCTGAAGGTAGTACTGTACATAAATTTCCAAGTTTCTCTGCTTAAAATACTAGTTTTATGCCTTATTGTTGTGTGTTTTAAAGCCATTTCTGGCTTATGACAACCCAAAGGTGAACCTACCATGAGGTGTTCTTGGCAAAATTTGTTCAGAGGAAGTTTGCCATTGCTTTTCCTTGAGGATCAGAGCATGTGATCATCCATTGGGTTTCATGGCCATTTATGGATGAAATAGTTGACAACCCTGTACTATACTGTTTCCTCTCTGCAACCCCCAATAATCCTAATTGAGAGCCAGAATGGCATAGTGGTTTGAGTGTTGGCATATGACTCTTGAGACAGGGTTTGATTCCCAACTCAGCCATGAAATCCAGTAGGTGACCTTGAGCAAGTCACATACTCTCATCCTCGGGGGAGGCAATGACAAACTTCCTCTGAACAAATCTTGCCAAGAAAACCCCTGATAGGTTTACCTTAGGGTCACCATAAGTTGGGAGCAACTTTCATGCATACAACAGCAGCAGCAGCAGCAACTGCTCTTTATTCTCAGGTCCTTCTGTCTCAGAATGAAAAAAATTACCTAGAATTGACCATCCAGACTACTATATTAAACACTCATATTGCCCTATAACTCTGCATTCAACTTCTATATTCGCCAATACTTGGCGGAGGGGGGGGGGGAGCGTCTGGAAAAGGTCTGCAAAATTACAATCAAAGAAAAATTCTTTTCAAAAACACTCTTATGGAATTGGGCAAGGGGCAACCTTAAGGCAATTGCGCACACTCAGTGATCATAAAATGTTGACTATGCTAAAGAGTCAAGAGAAGAAAAGAGTGACTGGAATCTTGAAAAACAATCCTCTGCATCACAACATTGTGTTGCTGTTCCCATCTGTATGAATCATGACGTTGGATCTCATCAACCCTCAATCACTCTGACTTTTGTTGGTGGCTGAGAAAGATGTCTTGGAGTCATTCCTAGGCAAATTATGATAGCCAGAAACATCCCCATTAATTACTCTCAGCCTCAACGACACACTTAATGAAAATTGAAGAATATACCATATTCAATGATCACCATTTATCCTTCATCTATTTAATAAATCCTAGTTAAAAACTCTGCACAGGAACAACTATCTCAATACTCTGTGGCTATAAATTCCACAGACTAGCCTTTGCCAGACTAGTAGCCTCAAGGTGTTCAGGGCCACAACTCCTACCATGCACAGCCTACCTGCTAGGTGAGGATGATAGGGGTTGTGGTCCAAATTTTCTGGAAGGCAGTGAGCTGAGAAAGCCTGCCAAAGACGTTTTCACACAGGCGGCTCTAAAGCCGCCTGGAAGCCCCCTGGAAGCAATCAAGAGCCATTCCGGCGGCGAAAACAGCAGCCGCCGGAATGACTCCTGATTGCCTCCGGCAGCAGCCCCTGTAATTCCTTTTTAAAAAAGGAATTACAAAAACGGGGCTAAAGCCGGCTAGCGGCAGGGATGGCGCAGGGATTGCGCAAGATGGGGCGGGGCTTGCTGCGACGTCATGTGAACACGCGCAGCAAGACCCCGGAGTGAGGCAGGGATGGCGCAGGGATGGCGCAGGATGGGGCGGGGCTTGCTGCGACGTCGTGTGAACTTATCCTGCACAGAGCCGGAGTGGGGCCGGACGGAGGTAGGAATGACTCCGTTTAAAGCCCCGTGTGAAAACGTCCTATAGTCATGGCCTATGTGGTAAACATCTTCTCTCTGTCTTAGCCCTGCTATTTATTCTTTTTCCTTCTGTGAGAGACCCCAAATTCTAGAGAAAAAGGATTCTAGAGAAAAGAGTCTCCTCCTTTGGAGTCTTTAAACAGAGGCTGGATGTCCATCTGCCGGGGATGCTTTGATTTTGAGTTCCTGCATAGCAGAATGGGGTTGGACTGGATGACCCTTGTGGACTTTTCCAACTCTATGATTGTAATTGATAAGCCACACTTAGCCTAGGAGAAAATCCTTCTGAATTCAGCAGGGATCTCTTTAGGCATAGGATTGCACTGCCTGAGTCTGTGGCTATTGCCACACTGCAAAATTAATGCAGTTTGACACCACTTTAACTATTGTAGCTCCAATTTCTGGAATCTTTGGATTTTTAGTTTGTTCTCTGACAGAGAAGGCTAAATATCTCACAAAACTACTAACCCCAGATTTCCATAGCATAGAGCAGGGGTTGGCAACCTACGGCCTGTGGGCCGGGACCGGCCCCCTGAGGCCTTTGGACTGGCCCTTGCCGACCCTCACTGCCGCTGCGCCGCCTCGCACGTCGTGGCAGCCATTTTGTTTTCCAAAATGGCGTCCGTGACTTGTTTGCGTATGCGCAGTACTCCTGTGCATGTGCAAACGAGCCGCAGCCGGCGTTTTGGAAAACAAAATGGCTGTTGCAATGCGTGTGGTGGCGGTGGCAGTGGCAGCGGCGGCGGGGGTCGGTGGGGGCTGCGTGCACACGCATGCGCATGAGCGCACGCACCACGATTTCCCCCCGGCCCGCGGAAGACCTGAAGGCCAGCGGACCAGCCCCAGGTAAGAAAAACTTGCCGACCCCTGGCATAGAGCCATGGCAGTTAAAGTGGTGTCAAACTGTATTCATTCTGCAATGTAGATACACCCTGGGGAAATGGACAAAAGCCAGGCCTTTCTGCCCACAAATTCATCAGCTGCAGTGTCTGCGGTTGATCATGAAGGATAGATGGAAGGCTGTGATGTTTGGAGATGAGACCAAGAAGGGTCAGTAGTGCACAAGAGATGGAGAAATAAGGCAATAGGAGATAGATCTTCAGCAACCCTCTGAAATTTGTTGATCAAATAAGAAAAGTTTAGTCATCCGCAAACCTAACCAACGCCTGGGACACACAGTATACA